TCAGCGGCAAAAGCGCTTGCCTGGCAAGCGCAAGGTCGTGAGTTCGGTTCCCGGTACCGGAGAAAAACCAAAAAAAAAAAAAAAAAAAAAGACAATCAAAACTACCTGGGATACTTGCTAAAGATGGGTATTACTGGGCCACGTACCTGAAATAGCAGAATCTGAGTTGCTAGCAATAGGATCTGGGAATCCACATGTTAAATAAATGCCACAGGTGATTATTATGTTGCTGGCATTCAAGAAACAGTGTCCTAGGGAAGGAAAGTACTCTCTTGTACATATTTTAGAAAGAAACTATTCTTTCTCTATTTCCTTTTCCGATTTTCCCTAGGTACGTAGTCTGGTTTTAACAGAAAACAGGAGGAGCTCACAGATACCTGTTCATTTACCTCAGCCTGGGGTTTCTTAACTGTCCTGATGGGATGAGAAGCTTTGACCCAACATTTCTCTCCCAAGTAGGGTTATGGGAGACAATACATTGTGGGTGCTGATAGCACAAGTTTGGGGTCAGATCTGAGTTTGAATCCCTGTGAGTTTTCAGTTATATTTCTCAACATCTCTAAGCCTCAATTTCTTTATTTATAAGATGGAATTAATAATTTCTATGTTGTAAGAAAGTGTAAGGATTAGAATCAATATTGTATGTAAAAGGCTAGCATAGGGTCTGGCCTATTGTGAGAACCTGATACATGTTCATTGTCACTTTTTTTGACAAGTACAGTGAAGAATTCTTTTTCAGTCTCCATAGCTATTCTTTGGGGGATTGCACATGTTTCAATTATTTTCTGAATCTTGAGTACCTAGGGACAAGGCTTGATCTCACTTTTAAAAACTCTGGCATTCATCTATTCTCATATAATATAGTCTCAGTATAGGCAACTGAACACAGTTCACAAAACCATCCAACTGAGAAAAGACATATCAGTATGCTTTGGCAGGAAGGATATAAACATCTATCTTAGTAATGAATGGAATCAAAATGAAGAGAATTAACTTCTTCCAAGAATTTGGCTTGGAATATAATAGACTTATTGTCTCTTAAATTATGAACATTGTGAGAACCTACTGGAACCTACATACCATTCCCACAGAGTAATTCTATACACATATTTTTAAGCAATTCTGCATTAAGTTGCAAAGAGCTTCATGGACCACTTGAAAACCACCAATGCATTTCATAGTAACAGAGCTTTAGGGAGAGTCCATCAGAGACTAATGAGACTCCATAATTCTTAGGTCATTTCCCCCTTGTACAGAAAAAGAAGGCTTGGTGTTTTAGAAACCAAAACACACTTCTAAAACTCCAGTTCATCTGTGAAAGTAACATCATATCTATCTATTCAACTCAATGGATATTTCTATAGACTATACTGGTCACTAGACAATCTAGGCTAGGCATGGCTAGTTATATTTTACCTCATTCTGTTGAGTACAGAAGAAAGATACTACATTTAAAATTTTTATTTCTTTTAATAGCTTTTTATGGCTAATATCTGTGTCCTGAGATCAAAAATATAAGCTTGTTTCATAGTTTCTTCCAGACCAGAGCCCTCACTACCAACCCTAACAGTTCTTGTTGAGCTGTTTCTATGTGCCCTCATCTTCAGTTTCAGATCTAAGAATCTTATGGAGAGAAGTATTTTAAGAAAGATGGTCTGATTTGACCCTTTCATTTTGCAGATGGAAAGACTGAACACCTACAAATGAATTAGCTGCCATACAGTCACACAGCTAGTGATATATTTAGAACTTGAAGCCAGGTGTTCTCTGAAAGACTTACTACTTGCAATATTTCTCCTTGAAGTTAGTTTGGATTTGCTAATGATAGTTTTAACTGATGTTAATAGATTTTTGTCCTCTGTCCATCCTTGTGCTATTACAAGTATATACAGATTCTGACAAAGCTTTTCTGTTGGTGCCAAGATTTATTTAGGTGATTGAGTACCTAAATTTGATTCTTTCCTTAATTAGACATCTTACCAGCCCTTTCAAATAGGTAAACTCTGGATAAAAGCCCGGTAAGACTGTCTAGCTTAGCTGTTGGGGCCATCTCATTGCTGAGATATCCAGAGAATATACAACATCTCCATAGTCCAAGGATTTCTAGAGCTATGCTGGAATGTCCTGGGCAAATGCTTAGAAACTTTCTGGCTTCTCTAGGTATCGCAAAGGCCAAGATCTTCTGCTTCTGTGAACTTTGTCTACTGAACAAAACATGAGATTACTCTGTTTTCTCACTATAGAATATGAGCCTACCTCTAGCATAGACTTCTTATTAGATAGATTTAGAGTGATTTATAAGATTTGCTATCAGTCTTTGTATCAGAGAAGTGGAGTTGTTGCTGTGACTGTGCTTGACCATGTGGTGTAGAACTGGCTTATGGGAGGAGTTTGGAAAGATTTGAGAAGTGAGCAAGAGAATCCCTATAATGATATAAACAGAGATTGATGAAAGATTATGTCCAATTCTCAGAAGACCAGGATGTTGAAAGAAATGTGGACAGGAAAAGCCAGGTTCAAGAGGTTTCAGCTGGAATCAAAGACTCCATTGGCAGTTGGATAAGGGGCCATGTATGTTACTCTCTGGCATGAAATTTGTCTACATTTTGTCCATGTCCTGGGACTTTACAGGAGACTTAGATTTTCTAGGTGACAAAGATTGAGGATGTGGAATGACTAATTTGGAAGAAGAAATATCAAGGCAACCCAACATTCAGGCTATGGTTTGAGTATTGCTGTCTGCTTTTGACCACATTTATAGAGAGAATTGGGGGCAAAGACAGAGCAGAAAAATTTAAGAAACTCAAATTTTGGCAAGAAGTAACCCTGTGTAAAGTTGTGTCTAATGAAGATGTGGCTGTTAAAGACATTGACACCATTAAAAAGGAAGCAAGTACTTTGTACAGAGACAAGAACAAAGATGCCTTGAGGGCATCTCAAGAATCAGAAACATCCCAGCCATGACAGGCTTAAGGGTGCAAAAATATTGACCTTTCATTTGAGAAAGGAGTCTTTGGGACTCCTGCTCAAGAATGACCTCCTAAGGGATTGGTATCCTGGGATTTATTTCATGATGCTCAGCCATCCAGGCACTCAAAAGCCTCTGTAGCCATGGTCCAAGGGGGCCTGCTGCTTCTACTGACCACAGACCTTGGCATTGCCCCTGTGGTGCTAGTTTTACTGGCATACAGACTGCAAGAGTTATGAGGTGATGGAGGCTTCCACTCAGATTTCAAAGGAAGATCTGAGAAGCTGGGCAAGGAATCCTTGAGAAGATAGTGCGTGAAGCTGTGGTAATGTAGCAGAACATGCAGTGAAAACTCCAGGAAGTCAGAAATTCCAGGTTTAGAATGTTAGCTGAGGACAGCTATACACAATGAGAATAAGAATCAGCCAAAAGAGAGGTCTTGTGGAGCACAATTGTCAAGATCATAGGAGTGAGACCACCAATGCTTTCTGGAACACATATTTTATGACCATGTACCCCAGATGCTGGACATAGAACTATAGGATTTATTGTCTTGCTAATTTTCACTTTTGCTTTGGTCCAGTTCTTTTCTATCTCCCTATTCCTCCCTTTTGGAGTAGGAATGTTTAACCTGTGCCTTGAGATTGCATAATTTATTTTTTTATTTTACAGAAGTTCACATCTAAGAGTTTGCCTTGAGTCTCAGAAGAGACTCAGACTTTTGAAAAATGCTGAAACTGCTGAGACTTCTGGGAAAGGATTATTTCACTTCCAGATGTTCACAGGACAGTTGCATTATGTTAGGTGGAGCTATAAACTTGTTATTTTTTGGGGGGGGATTAAGGGGGATTAAGAATGGTGTAAGGATATGTGTTTGGATGTGAAGTTGACAAGGGGTGGGATGTGGCCACTCATCCTTATCTAGATTAGGAAATAGCTAGATTAGTACAGCATGCTTCTGGTGAGTGGGAGGGGCATGTCATGGAGGTATTGGCTTCAGTAAGATATATATGATTCATCACCCATTCCTTCCTAGCATTCTTCCCCTGCTCTTCTATCCAATCTCTATGAACTAAGCAGCTTTGTTACACCATATCCTTCTACCATCCTGTCTCTGCCTTGGAACCAGGCTATCATGGACTAATACCATGAATAAATTAAACCTTTCCTCTACTATGTTTTAAGTGTCAGGTACTGTGTCCAGCAACAGAAAAAAGCCAATTGATGTACCATATAATACAGGAAAGCAGGAATGAGGACAAATAAAAGCCTGTGAATATATAGTATGTGATAATTAGATTTTGCCTTCTGTGTTAAGTATTGGATAACGAGGTAACTATTATCAGGGGAAAAAATGTTGCCAAATCCTTTTTTAACACCATGCATGAAAATAAATTCTCGGGGGGGGGTTAGAATTTATACATAGTAAAGCAATCATAATAAAAAATATAAATAAATGTTAATCTAATGTTGGGTTATAAAGATTTTTTTTCTGAGCATGAAAACAAAGAAAAGATGCCTTAAAGAAACAGAATGCCAAACATATGTAAACACATATTAACTTCATTACACTAAAATTACTTACAAACAAAATTAAAAGGCAAATGTCAAACTGATGAAGTCTTAATAGCTTTTCAGAACCAAAACCATAAAATAAAATCAAAGTGGTAAAGAGGCAATGGCAGAAGACAAATGGACAAAGATATAAAATATTGAGCTTTATAGGTAATAAAATAAAAATATATTAAAATGAGATGCTATTTTCACCTATGCAAACAGCAAACATTTAAAAAGATAAGAGTAATTCTGGCAAGGGTATGGAAACTGGCATTTGCACATACACACTACTGCTGAATATAAGATGGTATAGACTTTCAAGGCAGCAACTTGTCAATATGTAACAAAATCATCAAAACATGCCTACTTTTTGACCCAGAAATTCCAACTGTGACTGTTTATCCAAAAAAAATTATCAGAGATGATAATCAGTATTTATGGACAAGAATGTTCACCTAAGGATGATTGGATAAAATTATAAGATGATATATACTATAAGATGGATAAGATGATTAATAAAATTTACATTTGTGCATTGGAATACTATGAAAAGACAAAAACTTGTCTTAAATCTCATGCCCCCGATATACCTGTATCAGCTCCAGGACTATGCTTATATATTTGAAAAAAGGATATTTTATAAGCTTGCCATTCATAATGCCATCTACAGGAAATTATTTAGATAAAATTCTGCCTGATGGGAGGAGAGTCTTGCAGCAGAACAGGAAGAGGAGAGAGTAGAAAATGTGGGTTTGTAAAGGTCAAGAACCATTAACTTAAATATCAGAGAGTACCTTTAATATGATAGGCTGAATTTTTAAAAACTGCAAAACAACATGCATATTAAGGTCTCCATTTTCTAAGATGCTTGTGTGTAAATCTACATCAAGCGGTTAAGAATGGTTATCTCTATGTGGCAGGAACAGACCGTATCTTCATTTCTTTTAAGTTTTCCAAAATCTCTCCTGTAACCAGGTATTCAGGAAGCAACATGTGTTACTAAGAAGGAGAAGCAGCCTCTGAAGGTGAACAGAAGCTTTTGAGGTCTTACTTTGCTTCCAGGGCCAGAGCAAAGATGCCAGCAGCCAGGGGTGCAGACGCCGAGGTGCCCGTGTGGGTCTCCGTGCAGTCGTTGTGCAGGTCTGCACTGGTCTGGATGGCATGAAGGAGAGAAAGAGGGGCACACTTGAGGAACAAGAAGGGTAACCACAGCAAGGTCTGATCTGCTATGACCAGGAAACAGCTGATTCCATTCCTTACTTCCTCTCTAAACCACATGCGGATGTTTGCCATCTGCTGATATTTTAGTTCACTTTCCTCTATATGCAACTTGTCTATAATTCTGGCACCAAGTTGCCTTTTCTGGGGATGAAGTACTCCCACTATGAATATTTTCTCTTCTGAGATTCCCAAACGAATTGCTGTCTGTAAAAAAGAAATCAGTGTGAATCATGCTGGCCCATTAATCATCAGGTCCATTGTGTTTGGTCCAGCATATTTAGAAATTCTGCCTCATTCTAAATTTCCTTTGGTCTTCATTTTGACATTTGGCTGTCTCTTCAGCACCAGGATGCAAAGCCATCCTGACCTTAGTCAGCTGAACTACTTGTATAAAATTTGTTTAGTGTATGCTTTGGACTCTGTTGTCTAGATTTGATGCCCACAAGTTAGTGTCTATAATTGCACTTCGATAAAAATGATAGGTTTTTCAAAGGAAAAGGGTACTAGACTTAGTTTTGAGTCTAAATTCTAGAATAACTATTCTTTAGATGTGTCCCATGTGCATGTCCTTTGGTTTTCTCATCTGTAAAATGAGATTTACATGCCCTGACTCATATTCTCTGAGGCTTTTGTGAGGTCTCACCTGTGGAAGTATTTTTACACAATATTATCACTTGGGAGGAATTGTGCAGGCTAGCTTTAGGGTAATGAGGAGGTTACTAACATGAACGGAAGAAACCCAGAGAATTTCCAATCAGTCTACTTGAAGGATCTCAGCGCTGCTTGCTGAATAAATAGTTGGGTCAAACGATTACTAACAAGATACCTACCCCGGCTCCAGCACTAGTTTCCAGCTAGAGATTTCAATGTGTGGGAGGAAGGTGTAAGAAAATAATGTGTTCTATTATCACCTCCTTTGGCTTCCCACTTGGAGTGGTTGGATTTTATCAGTGCTGGTGGTTCTGTTCCTCAGAGTGCTGTGGAAACGAAGTTGCAGTTTTTACCTGTTGACGCAAATAAGCCCCCGGAGATGACTGTGCTGAGGGAGAGGTTTGCATAAGGAGAAGGCTGTGCTACTGCAACTCTCTCAAATAGAACCTTCCAGCTGTCTCTCCTTCCAGGGCTGGCTTTCCTAAGGAGCGCTTTACAAAGATGCACGGAAAATTCCTGGCTGCTTCTATGCAGAGTAGCCCAAAAGAGGGGCTGTCTATGAAATGGTGACTCTAAATTGCTAAACAGGCCATTTCTAAAAGGCAGCTATGGACACCCAGGGTAATGGCAACAGCCAAGGGCTTTGATCAAAAGTGGGGCAGATGTCTGATATGCCCCTATGAAAGGCTATAGAGGATGCCTGCCATAAACAAACCCCGGGTAGAGTGTCACTGTCTATTATTCAAGTAATAGAAGGTACAGCATAGGAAAGAGGCCAGCATTTTTAAGTGCAGACCACATAGCTTATTGCCTTGACTACATTACAGAATCAAGCAAGTTACAAAATAGTGATCCTCCTTGAAAGACATTAATGCTGATAATTTTGTTGAGATGCCACTAATGGGAATTGTGCATATATTCCAAGGTAATTATTATGGGATTCACCCACAGTCTAATTGGATCATGACCTAGTATTTCATTGAGATTAGTATATACATACTTTTGTTGGTTGGTTTTTTCTTTGTTCAGTGTTATACTTGAAGCTTTAAATTTTTAAGTTAAAAGTGCCTGTCTTTGTTCTCAAAGCCTCCGAATGGCCCTTCATCATTATGCCCTTGAAGGGAAATCCAATAATTGCCCATGGCAGTCTGACTCAGGGAAGTACGGGCATAGGCAAGCGTAGGTTGGAGGAGTTCTTTGAGCTTCCAGCCTTCGTGAGCTGCTTATCCTGATGCTGAGAAGTTCATCTCAGGGAAAAGTGAGGCTGTTATTTTCCTGCAGGTTGTCTGTTCTTAGGAGACACTGCTAGTGTAGACTTTGTATTTTTATCATTTGCTAAAGGGCAAGTCAGACTGTATCCCTGCTATTAAAGTATCAGCAAATACAAGGGTGATAAAGCCTATAACCCTGAAATCTCCTTTTAGACCGTTTCCCGGGAGGCATCAGACAAGCAGGAAAGGCACTTGGAGTCTTGGCTGTGTGTAATGACAGGTTTGGTGCCTTCTCAGAGCTGAGTTTAAAAATGACAGTGAAGAAGATCGTCACAGCAGAAGCATCACTGTGCCTGTAGAGAAAGCTTCCCAACCTATGCCAGTCTTTCAAATGAATAAGCCCAAGTCTCCCCAACAGAGATATCAACCAGAAACAGATCAGTTCCACTAAAGGTCAATTAGGAGGGTCATTCCAAGTGCAAACAATGCTCTTCTAGCTGGGCAAAGAGAGTTAGACAAAAGCAACATACGATTCTCTGGTCGGTATAATCCCCGCTGCTGTAAGAGGTGGCCAGTGTGGAGGAGCACTTCTCAGCGTACCAGGGTGACAGGCCTTGCTGGGAAGCACTGCTGATGGAGATGGTGTAGATGCTATCCGTGTAGCCATCACAGTCACAGTTATCTCCCTGACGCCCCCCATTCCCAGAAGCCCAGACGAAGATAGAACCCTTTCCTTGTCTTCCCTAGAGAAAAAGCAAAAATGTGTAACATTCATTATCATCTGTTAGAGTACTGTTAAACCTCAGCAAATCTCCAAGAAACACATGCATTTTCGCAGAGACAGTTATCTGGGGTCTATCTTCAGCTCCTTGTCCTCCAGCATCAACACTGGGAATCTTGGGAGATTGTGTATTTCTGAACACTAGACTATGGTCCTGCCAGCAGCCTCCTATCATCCGAGCTCTCTCTGGGGTGGGGCTGAGAAAGCATTTTTCTTTCTTTTCTTTCTTTATTATGCAGATTCATAATCTCGCCTTTAGCACTTACTCATAATTTTTATCACTCTTCTCTTGGCTTATGTCACTACCCTTGAATCTCTGAACTTCCTCTTTCTTTCTGCTTGAATCTTCTGGCTGGCTGATAGAATGACAAAATCAGGCATTATTCAGAGCTGCCTTGCAGCTGCATTAAAAGGGACTCTTCAATTGAATGGAACTCGTCAAGGCCATCCTTTCTATGATTTTTCAATTTGTGCTCTCCAAAGTTTCTTCTTTCATCTCATCTTGTGGCATGCAAGGCCTTGGAGTCTGTGCCAAGATGCAATAAACCCTAGTGACCGAGCAACAACCAAAGCACCAGTATGCCCCACTCATGTGCAAAGCAGAGGGTAGCTCACTGCTGTATTCACAAGCCTAAATAATGGTTTCCGATTTCATGAGAAACCCAAAGGCTAAATAAATTAAAGAGAAAAACTGATAATAGGACACAAGGAGGCAGATCTTTCACAAATGGAAGGGGACCAAGAGCTGCAGGGAGGGGGAGTGGAAGAGAGGAGAAGGAGATGTAAAAAGAATTAAGCTGTGTTATGTCCAAGCACCAAGTCCCCATGATGCATGTAATCATTATATATTGCAAACTTGTACTAATAAAAATAAAGATTAAAAAAATGATGGACTTTTCCAGAGCAACTGGAAGAAGACTGGGCAGTAGTTTACCTAATATAAAAACCCCAAAGCAGGTAGAAAACAAGAAAGGGAGAGGAAATGTGCAGAATTAGTTCAAGCTATGTATCCTAAAAGTAATGAGTCTCTCTTCAATTTTTTTAATTTTTTTTTTTTTTTTTTTTTTTTTTTTTTGGTTTTTCTCTGGTACCGGGAACCGAACTCACGACCTTGCGCTTGCCAGGCAGGCGCTTTTGCCGCTGAGCTAAATCCCCAGCCCCTCTCTTCAATATTAGACTCAAACAGAAAAACTCCCCTAACCTTGAACTTCCATCCTCTGAAGAATGACTAGGCTCCCTGTGTGCATTTCAAATTCTGAATGGCTTTGTCAAGAAATTTGCCACCATTTCTTTCCATGTAACATTAACATCCTTCCCTTCATCTCCTATCGTAATGGTTGGAATTCATCTCATGTGGGTGTGTGTTAAGCATCTCACCTGTTTGACACCATATTCAAAAGCCTTCTGGGCTAATCTGCCGGGCCCCTCTACAGTCTTCCCGTCATCATTAGGGCCCCAACTTGCACTGTAAATATCCACATGTCCGGGGTTGAATCCAATGGAACTGGCCTCAATAGCGTCTGTCACTATGCCATCTAGCATCCTTATGCCTGGGCAGCAAAACAAAAAAGAAACAAAGAAGAAAGCTGATGTCAGTGTGCACATATAGAAAAGTGAACACTCTTAATACTTCTATTTTTAAAGGACTTCAAGAGTCAAAAAGAAAGTAACACTAGATGCCCCCAATGCCTGTGACCAGCTACTAAGAGCATAATCAGCTTCCCCCATAGACTTTATTGTCTGCCCTTTAGAGATAATGCTATGTACTAGGGCAGCTGTGAATTTTTTGTTCCACTCAAGGGTTGGATCCCAGTAATATCTCTGAGGATGAAAATAAGTAGCATCCTTGGACAAGAGGAAGCGGTCATGGTGCTGTCAATTACAAATGTGTTCTCTCTCTCCACTGCCCCACAAAATGACAGAATAGCTTTCAGAAATGCCTGTCCGACAGCTCTCTCGCAGTTCCTCTGCTCATGATGATGGCACCACGATTGGCTATGGCCTGGTCTGCGCCATAAAAACGACCCCACAGGGCAAACTCTGCTGTCTGAGAAGATCTATCCCTTCTGGGAGACTAACAAATAGGGAAAGAACCCTTGTTTCTAAGCACTGATTAAAAATAACCCAGAGGCCTTTCTTTTATGTGTTTGCTAAGAAACATTTTCAAGGAACCTCTTCCTTTTCTTCTAAATCATCTCAGGATGAAATCATTGCCTGGACTTCACTCCTTGAGGGGAAATCATTTTTCATCAGGAGAAGGCAGATGTGGTGGCCCTTTGTACTTTCCAGCAGGCTGTCACCCAGCATCAGACTCACGCATTCAAAAGCCGGGAGGGAAAAAGCAACTGGGATAGTATGGGCAGCTACCTGGTTATTCCTAGCTTCAAGTTAATAGGGCAATAGTGTATGACTTAGATTTTCACACTATTATTCACAGTGGGGCAAAGAGAAAACGTGTAACTGGCATGTTCAACAGTGAAAGACATAACTGTTAAAAAAAAGAGAAAGAGTAGTTTAAAAATGTGTTTAGAAGGGAAAAACTCCCGGCTCTACTTTGTAATAGTTGTGATCTTAAGACACAGAAACCTCTCTGTGCCTCAGTTTCCTCAATTAGGTGATTATATCAGTTCCCATGGCAATGAGGCTATTTCATGTGCAGTCACATGCCACAGCTGTTTCATTTATGAGCTCATCTACCATCCGAGGTTGGTGCTCCAATTCTCTACATGTCACAGGTGAGGCAACTGAGGCCAGAGAGACACAGTGACTTGTCCACAATCACACAGCTTCAAAGTGGGAGGGGCTGGGATTGAGCTCAGGGGCACAGCGCCTGCCTGGCAAGCACAAGGTCATGAGTTTGATTCCTGGTACTGGAACCCCCCCCCCAAAAAAAAACAAAGTGAGATCCTGGATTTGAATCCTAAAAAACTGCCACTTGACTACATCCTGTTAATTGCAGGGTACACTGCCTATGATGTATTTAGGGTGAGTGATATACAGTAGGTACGTATGCATGGAAATTGTTGTTCAAATCGGGGCTAGAACATCACAGGATAGAATAATAAAAAATATCAGTAGATTTAGGATCAATGGTCTTGTGTTTCAGATCTACACAATGAACTATCTTTTGTCACCTTAAGAAACTTACTTATGATTCCTCCTCCAAAAACTGAAAATCTGTCACAAACTTAGCTGCTGAATTCATTAAGACTTAAAAAGTGGAGTCTTTTTCTAGTTGTTTACATAATTTATGTTTCTGCCTTCATTTTTTTTAAATTACCACAGCAGTTTGAATATGATGGAATCGAAGGGATAGAGAATGCTGTATAAACTGCATACAGTGGTGCAGGCCTAAAATCCCCACACCCTGGGAGGCTGAAGTAAAAGGGGCTCAAGTTTGGGCCTGGCATGGGCAACTTGGCAAGGCCTTGTCTCAGAGTAAAAAAATACAAAAAGGCAGGGATGTAGCTTAGTGCAAAGGTGTGGAGTGCAGTCCTCAGTACCACACACACACAAACAAAAGTACTGAAAATCTACCGGTCTGCTGTTCCACTGTTGCCAGGATGCATATTTATTTGGTTTCCAATTCAAAGTACATTCATGGAAAATATGAGGTGGTTTTGCTGCAATTGATATGCTCCATAAATAATCTTTTTGTGATACTATTTTCTCAAAACCAACGTAAACTCAAAGATTATTGTATAACTGTGAGAGTCCGAGGTAGAAAAAAAAATGAGGGGAAATAATTCCTCTCTTTCTATTGGTTCCTGTAGAACCACCTTCTACCCTTTATCAATGGAGCATGACTGTACCTTTGGCCTCCCTTGCGTCTCCCTTCAGCCACCTGAAGATGTCATCAGGAGGGCAGGGTGAACCGAGAATGAGGTCTTAGCCCCTGGGCCAGCTGCCTGGAAGGAGCTCCGTTGTGTGCAGGGCCACAGCTCCCATCCAGAGGCTCTCTCTATGGCCACAGCTTTCTCCCTCTCTCCTTTCTGCTTACTTCCCCTTGCCCTGGTCCTTGGGTGGCAGGGTGGAAATATCCTCCAAGCTTCAGGCGCCCATATTGGTTTGCTCTACATCTTGTACGTTTTTCTTTATTAAAATGTCCTTGATTACCTTGTGGGAACTTTTTAAATGCTGTTCTTCGCTAACAAATGAAGAAATACAGAATGGAGAGGGAGGGAGAGTCTACCTAAATTAACATCCCCCTTCTGTACTCTATGCAAGCATTCAGTAACAATCCCTCCTACATCAGAACACAGAGAAAATTAGATTTTGCTCAACTGCTGCTCAGCGATCCATTTTCTTGTAGTCCAGATCCATCAATTGTTTCACAAACCACATTTAAACTCTGCAAAAAATTCTCCTTGGAACTGATTTCTCCCTCAGGTTGTGGAAAAGTCCCCTCCCCTACTTACGTGGGTGATACAAGTCTCAAATTAAAGTGCCAAAGTGCAGGCATGGCCCCCTGCTTTACCTCCAACTTTGGAATTGTATGCCACTCCGACCCCGCACTTGAGATTATTTGCTTGCATGGCAATTTCTCCTGCACATCTGGTCCCATGTCTGTGGATTAAAAAGCATTAATTATAAAACATAAATAGGGACCAACATTTGTTTTGCATATGAACTCACGGTGTATGATATGTTACCTTTTTGTTGGCTTTGTTACTGGCTTTCTTGCTATTAGTATTAAATAAAATTTATTTTCTTGATGAAAGAGACAGGTAACTAGAGTAAAGTATGAAAGTTGAAATTCTGGCTTCTATTATTAACTAGTGGTGTGACCTTGGGTCCATTCCTTATCATCTACAGGTTGTGAAGATCACATGAGCTATCTGCGTAAAGCACTGAAAACTGTGGCTGACACGTATTAGGAACCTGGTGTATGCCAACCCTTGTTAGCTATTAGGAGAACTATGGGGCTGGGGATATAGCTCAGTGGCACAGCACAAGCCTGGCAAGTGCAAGGTGCTGAGTTCAATTCCCGGTGCAAAAAAAAAAGAGAGAGAGAGAGAACTCTGACATTCAGGAAAAATGTCACAGATGGCTTCTCCTCCTTACTTTTTTGCTAGTGAAATGTTTGCTTACTTTCCTCCCTAATGACCTTGAATTAATACCTCAGATTAGATTAGTCTGTACCAGCCCTGCAAACTATGGAACAGAACCCTTTTGTAAATCTTCCTCCTCTCCTATAACTACACATCACATTAAGATGTCTGAGGATTTTCTGGTACCAAGAGGCCTTTGAAACTTTCTCAGGACGCTATAGGCTAATTAAAAAACAATGAGCTCCCACAACTCTGACTGAGGCCAGAAGCCTGAATAAGACTGGTTTTGTAGCCAGGCAAATATTTCAGAGTACTTGGTCAGGGGGGGATTCTTCTCTAAAACACATTCAATTCTATCACTAAAGCATCATTTCTAAATTCTGGACATAATACTATTCCTATAGCTTGACTCATGATGTCTAATAAGTAAAGAACATGTTAACATGAACCCATTTTATGGATTTATCCTATTGTGGAAACACTGGGAGGAGCATGAAGGTTATTGACAGCCTGGTGTAGCCAGTAACCAAATACGCTGACACAGAGGAGTAAAAGGGTTACATCTGAGGAACAATACGAGCCAGCTACTTTTAGACAGTACTACAATGACTATCTTTTAATTAAACCTGGTCAGGAATATAAAACACCCAAATTGAATAAGCCATCCAAAACTATTCTAACTTGTCTTTTATTCTGAAATCCCAAAGACGGCTTCTTGGTCTCCTTCCATTTAATACTATTCCTGCTCCTGCAGATTAACAGTGGGTAGGGATTCTAAGTTGGAATGACGTACCTCTCTCTAACTCAGGGTTTTCCTGATGTGGTACACTATGCCACTTTCGGTATGCTAGCATTTTCCCCATTGAGAAAGCTGCCCTCCCTGGCTCTTCTCAGGGAGGGTGCCCATCTACTCAGATAGTTTTCAAGGACTTGTGCTGATTCTGGGGTAGAGAACTGTGTTCTTTCCTGGGACTAAGTCTTAAGATTATGACTCATATGAATCCTGTCCCCAGTAAGAATCTGGAGAACGAAGCTAAGTGCAGGTGAACAGTACTAGAGGATAGGAAGAGTGGATGATGTTCAGGGGAGACATGATTTTAATCTGGACTTTGCAGCATTGGGTTGAAAAAATATTTCATCGCTATTTTGCTTAATCTTTGAACTAGAATTCTTTCACTGGCAACTAAAGCAATATTGTCCACTAACTGAAAAATATGTGCACATCTGCACAAAGAGAAGGTAACTTATGCTTTGTTTGAAGACTAGCTCTTTGCCTGTAGAAGAAAAATTTCCGTTGTCATCCTCCAAGAAATGTGCTTCCAAAAGTTACCATTGCCTACTTTTCCATTTATACGTGATGAGAGACAGGTTCAGGAAAGGAAAAAGAGCCACTTCAGGTCCCTAGTTTAAGCCAGCAGATTTAACCTATTGACAAACATCCCTAACACTGTGCCTCTGTCCAGTAATGATGTAACATGTTACTGTCCATTACTTTTCTTCCTCTGAGTACTGATTTAACAGTAGGATCACAGAACAAGCATGGCTGGATTCTTTCCATCCTCTCATCCTCACATCCCACCTCCACATACGGAGAGGAGAGGATCTTATTAAAGTGTGTCTATGTCACTCTACATAGACCTGCAGTTCTTTTTCTTTCATAAATTAGGAAGATAGATAAAAGAACCCTCTATCAACTAGAACAATGGTAGGAACTGGCATTTAAACAAATTGGTTTTTCTAAAAAAAAATCCACAAAATAGTTTAAAGACTACTATTATTTTGGTTAAAATATCCTTGTCACATGTGTTATTTAACTAGAAAAATAATCTGTAATTGGTGTTGAAATATTGAATACAGACTCATGCCAGCTTAATAGAAAGAGTTACCTGCACTTTCATGATTTTATTATTGAGTGATTCCTCTTTTGATTTGCAGAGGAACGTTCAAATGTGGCTTCTATTAGACTCATTTACATGTTGATAAAAAACTGAGGCAATAGAGATAGTTTGAAGAAATAATGCCCTTGGAATTGGGAGATAATAGGTCTCCACTTGCTATCAAGGTGAACAAAATGGGGTGATTCATTTTGTAAATCTAAGGAGTTTATGTCTGACAACATGCTAGAAAAGTAACTCTACTTTTTATTATATCTTCTGATAAGTGAAAGGTTAATTCTGATAGTTGGTTGACAGGGCTCTAAAAGTTGCTCATTGTGTCATTTTTGAATAAGAGATTGTAAACTAGCTTAGAAAACTGATGTGCCTCTGCTTATGCTCCTGTCAGATGATAATATTCTTGTAATGGTGATTTCTCCCTGAAGTAAGGTCTACTTCAGGTGCTAAATGAGGAACCTTGGTCATCATCAACCTCATCACTATTACTGTCACTCTCCTCCTCATCCTCATTTCAGTAATTATTTTACATTTTTTATGTACCAGGTAGGTAGCATCCAAGAAATTTATATACATAAACCCATGTGAAATCACATAGTAACTCAATTAAGTAAATATTCCTTTCCAAAAGATGTTAAAATCTAAGCACAAAAAAGCTAAATAGTTCATTTAAGGGCACTAAACTGTTAAGTGGAAGACCTAACATTTTATCTAAATCTGACTTAAGTCTGTCTCAGTTGTTGGACTATGCCATGCTAACCTATGGTGGTGGTGGCGAACCCATGGCAAGTATGCAGCAGTGGGCTGTTTGAATCAAAAAGGTTTGCCATCTCTGCCCAATCCCATGTAGGAAACCCACAGCAGGCAAAACTCTGGAAGCTCAGAATTTTCAGACACACAAAATAATTAACATTATACAGAGCCTTCGGAGGTACTTGAATTGAGGCAAATGTAGCAATTTTAAATGCTGGCCTGTGGGATTTCTCCCTTTGGGAAACAGGGAGAAGATCTGCTATAGTTTGGATCTGGACTCCCCCCTCCAAGTTCATGTGTGAAACGCTTGGCCTCCAGCTTGGTGCCGATGGAAGGCAGTGGACTCTTTGAGCAGTGGGCTCTTAGGTGATTGGGGGATGTCCTTGAGGGGCCATTGGAGGAGTCTCTGCCTTCTTTACTTCCTGCCACCATGAAGTGGAACGTAAACCACACACTCCCAACCATGCCATGCTACGCTGCTAAAGTGCAAAAGCAAAAAGGCTTACTCACCATGCACTAATCCCTTTAAAACTGTGAGCCTAAATAAACTTTTCCAAAGTTTATTTATTTCAGGTATTTGTTATAGTAATGCAAAGCTAAGTCCTCCTTCTCATGACAAGTGTATCGCCAGAGAGTATCATTTTATCAAGTGTTCATCTGCTATGTGGACACTGCATAAGTTATCACCTACTTTGGCTCCTGCGGCTAGATCCAGGATCTGTCCAGGAAGGAGTTGCAAAGCCTAGGAAAGAAGCTGTTGCCTCCAGCCTCCTTTGCTGCACCTCCTGGCTACAGAGATTTCCCCCTTGGTTTTAATAAGTGGTGGAACAAAAGCTGTTTTCACACCATTCTAAGAAAGGTGTCTCTATCTTACTGCCCCATTTCCTCATGAAGTTCCTTTCAGAAATGTAAGGGGAAAGGGCCTTATCACTCCATTTAGAGGAGAAAAATCAAACACAGTACAGAGAGAGGGAAGCAAGTGAATATCCAGTATCACTCTCGCTGCGGGTAATTGGCAAAGCCACAGTTAGCAGCCAGGCTGACATGACAGGGTTGTGCTCCAAACAAATAGATGTTCCTGCTGGCTATACACTATCCTGACCCAGAAAAAAGGCTAAATGTGTCCCTGCTATCACCTGACACACTCTCACTTTGCTCCCAGAGTGTCTCACCAGCAATTCCTATTGCACTGTTAGTGAGTGTTCTAATCTCTAAGGGGTGTGACTAGCCTCTTTACCCAAACTCTTTCATGGGAGTGAAAGAAGTAGTATTTTTGAAGTCTCTACAGTCCTCCTTTTCTCATTCAAGGAAAAAATATAAACACAGAAGTAGGGGTCAGTTCTGTGTGGCTCCCTTCCTGGGTTATGCTGGCCTTCTGGAAAGGGACCATTCAAATAAAGGAATAATGTTAAGTCAATGTTACTGCACCAGCCTCATGGGAGGAGAGACACAGCGAGAAGTGTGAGTTACCTAAGTTGGTTAACAGTCCAAGAGACAGCCATCTAGAAAGAAAAGGGAAGCACTTTATGCTTCATGCAACATCTACCAACAGCTTTTTAGATATATCACTCTTTCCATCCCTATTTATAGCAAAAAGTCCTGGTTTTGACCTTGGATTTTATCTCTTCTGGTGCAATCTCTTCCGGGTGGGATGAACAGGAAATTTGAATGTCTCCTGGAAGTTTATGGTAGATATCAGCATGAACAAAGATGAGTTCTCACATGAAGATGGACACTTTGAGGAGCATGAAGTTTCTTTGGAGCTAAGAGAAATGTTAGGAGTCCAGTTTCTTGGTCTCTCTTTGGCCTCTTTCCTTGAAAGGCCTGGGTCTTGGCCTCTGTTGTCCCCCATGGCTGCAATAGGAAGATGCTGATCTAAGAGTTAGATGTTGTAGCCTCTCTCTTCCCTTGCCTTCACATGTAGCACAAACTGGAACACATAATGATATACTTCAAAGCTCTAAAGGCTATGCAGGATCAGGAAGCCAGGCCTCAGCTGGATTTCTTTTGGGTAGTGTTTGGTCATGTTCTTTTTGGGGAGCTGGTGAATGTAATTGTGACCACCATAGAAAGCTGTGGGACCTTTCCACATGTACTCCCTTGTATGTATTTCTTTTCATGGCAAAAGTCGTGTATGTTGCTAATAATACAAGATTCACAGAGGCACTGGGGGGAGAGGGACTCAAAGTTTATACTTTTTATGACCCACCTATTCTTTCAAAAGTGACAGTAGTCAGTAACACTTGAAGGAATAATTTAATAATATAAGAAGGAGAATTTAATCATTTAAGAAGTTTAATTTTCAGAATACAAGACTATAAACCAAAAGAAATATAGAAATAAAAACTTCATTTCTGTTTTAAAGGCATCAAAACATTAGGGTATGGATGGTATGCAGCAATATATTCTGAGAGGTGAAATATGGGCCGAATTTATAGTATAACTCTTTCAAACAAGATAAAAACACTTAAAGCAGTTTATGCCTACAAAATTCACATTTACTCACTTGTTCTCATTTGTGGGATCATACCGGGGAAACGGATCATGATCATTGTCATTAAAATCATAGCTAGCCTCTGGATCCTAAAGAAACGACAAAAATAACACTGTAGCATCATAGAAAAACAGCACTCTTACCACTTTCTATGACCGCCTCTTCCCGTCCTTGTAGATAGGTCAAAAGCTTGCTTTTCTGAGTTTTTTATCTTGTCACCAAACATTTATTGTACCCAAAAGACAGGCAGCAAAGGTGATCATAGCAAAGTAAACAGCAAAATATCCACAGTTTATTGGGATCAATCACCTCACTTTTCAAATGAAATTCAGTGAGGCCCTGAGAAGTTGAATGACTTAGCCAAAAACCATGGAGTTAATTACTAGCCCTCTGACACTTATCTCTCTTGCAGCTCTATGTGCAAAGAAGTAGCTGTGAGGTGGAGCTCCTTAGGTACACTAAAAAATATAATTTACTTAAAGAGAATGTACTTAGAACTACTGCCAATCTTCCCGATCCCACCCCATTTTCTGAACTAAATGTTACACTTGAAACATCTCCCACATAGGAGATCTATCATCCCTAATGCTGCTTTTTATAATTCTCCATATCTTTCAGTTAGTGCTGATTTCTACCCTGTACCAGTCTTTTCTTCACCTTTCTGTTCCCTCAATTTTTCTCTACTCTTTAGCTCTGAGTTATGGCTAAGGAATATTGTATGGGTAAAAAGTATGAGAGAAATATAAAGGAGAATCCTACTGATGAAATGCTGCTGCCCTGATATAAAGACCTAAGATAAATCATGGAGTTCATGTTACATTATGAGCTTCATAAACAATTAAGCACACTTTTCAATTATTTATTTTCTCATTTCTAGTAAATTTTAGCCTTTTTCAGTTTGGCATTTTTCTACTGAGTGGTATTCACTTTGAATTTCCATGGAAGAAATCACATTCACATAATTTCACCATGTCAGGGACACTGACTCCTAAGAGATGTGAGAAAATGACTGTGAAAATGACCTCAGACATCAGGCTTGATTTCATTGTTTTATTGCCCCAAACACTGAGTGGTTCACAATCCAAATGGCTTTTAATAACTTAATTCGTGTGGGTAACCACTCCCCTATCTTTCCCAGCACTCACAAGTCTATATAATCCTTAACCTCATTTGATTCTACCAATGCCCACTTGTACAAAACAAGTTCATATGGGCTGACAGAAGGGTTAAAAAAAAGGAAAAAAACATTGACCTGTTGTCTCAAGGCTGACATTGAAGCAGAATCCCCCTTACAGGAAAGAAAAACTCTGCATGTCTACATATATGGTTCCTTAAGCCACAGTCCCAAGACAGCCCAGACTCACATAATTGGCATAAATATCTGTGTGATTCCACTCCAAACCATCGTCCAGTACGGTGAGAACAACTCCTTTGCCTGTAATGCCCTTTTGCCAAACAGGTATCACATGAAGATCCAGCTTAGGCAAAACTGCAGTCATCCTGGTATCTTGCTGATAAAGAAAGACAAATCATGGTTTACTTGCTACATGCTGAGAATGTAAACTCCAACCTATACCCCCTTGTTCTTCACACCCACTTGGGTCACTGTAGATCTTAGAAGAAGGCAATTAGGTGAAATGAAAAACAAAGTTGAATCATAGAGTCCTTCTCTTCTCCCAATTGTCCCAATGGAAAATCACTTGAAAGGATAAATCATTCTAGGCTTCTTCACTTTGAACTAGGTGGATTAAAAGAAGTTTGTCTCCAAGTTTCTTTCATTTGTGATAACATGCTCAAGCTTTTCATCTATTGAAACTTTATTTGATGCTCTATGTTTTCATCTCCCCCAAAGTCCTCAGCCTCCATTGCTATGTGGAGCACTCATTACATCTTTTGATGTACAGTCATTTATGATTGTCTTATAACTTTTCTCCTAGAAGGAAAAACAGAACCAGAAATGCTGAGGTGATTGTGGTCATATCAAGAACTTTGATTTTTAGTGTTTGCTGTTTTACTATGCAGTGTATTTCACAGAATACAGATGAAAAGCTATATAGGGTGAGGAAAATACGCAAAACTTTCATGCTGTCTGGGTATGAGCCACCTTCTGGGAAACCACGATGGACATGTTCAGCTATCCAAGAAACTTTCTGAATCCTGCCCTTTTGTAGTTTTATGGCAATTCATTGCATAACCATCATGGCTGAGGTGTGAAAACACAGAAAGACCTGTCAGTTCAGCTTCATCTCGGAGGAACTGCAATCTAATTGCCTATTTCCTTTTATGGGATGATTCAGGGAGTATCTGAGAGAGGAGACTGGGGATTTTCCTTTCTGCATAATTTTTCTAATACAGTTACAGTGTGTGGGACTGTACGGGAGGAGAGCTGGGCCACAAGGAAACACAGATATAGGCATATTTCTAAGCATACAGGAGATATAGTAGAGTGCCAGTGAAGGGGTCAAAGAGAAATTCAGAAGTAACAACACTAAAACTACTAGTGAATGTACAGTCTCCTGTTGATATTCTTCTTAAAAAGGTGGACAGTGGGCAAGAATTTACCTAGCCAGTGTGAAGTTGAATGATAGGATGCTAAAATCACATATGAATTGTTGGGCGAAGCTAGAGAGCAAATGTTAATTGCAGAACAGTTTTAAAGGGTGGTTGTTGACACATTCCTATGGGTTTGAACCACAGTGGGTATATGCATGACTGTCCAATCCAATAAAGATTAGATGTGTTAATTCATAATGAACACTTACTATAGTATTTGACACATAGTATATGTTCAACAAGTGTTAGCTGATAAATGTTGTCAGCTGCAACATGCAAGCATTTATTGCTTAGTTTAGGAAAAGGACAATAGAAATGGGTCTTCTTGGAAGGGAACAGATTTCCTTGTCCATCCATCATGCAGTGAAAATGTCTAAGTTTTTGCTTATGGTTGTTATGATAATTTATCTTTTATTAAATTTTTATTATTTTTTATTAAATTTCTCAGCAACAAATCCTTTTAATAACATGTGTTACTACTAGAGAGTCTTAACATTAAACAGGAACAGGACAGCAGCAACACTTACAATTTCTTGTCTCAGGGCCCACACACAAACAAAGATTTGGTAAATATCATAAAGATAACATGCTTTGCAAGTCTAAACATTTGCAAATAGATTTCCTTTGTATGATTTCCTTTAGCTTTGTTCAGAGATTCTTGCCTGTAACACATAAAATTGTCATCCAGGGCTGCATATACTTAATGATGTTTACTATACTCTGAATGATTTAGAAATTCTCAAGAGTAAATTTTTAAAGAGTGATTTTTACAAAGAGTACTGTTTTGGAATGTCTAAGCTGGTAAGATTCTTTTGCATTTATCTCAGATAAGCCTAAGAAGTAAAAGGAAAAATGACAACAAGTAAAACAAACAAACAAACAAAAAAAGACTTCCCTTCATAACAGGTAAAGATCTATTTCAGGCATTTTCACCCAAGCCAAAAAAAATACAGATCAAGAAAGTCCCATCAGTCCTAATCTCTAAACAATATGTTATTGTACTCTGTAGAATGAGAAGGAGATATATCGGTAAAGGAAGAGGGGCTGAGAGAGACAGTTTGAGAGGTGGAGAGATTGAGAGACAGAGAGATTGAGAAACATTGAAGAGAGATTGAAATGTTGAAGAGAGACTGAGATAGGTAGACAGACAGACAGACAGACCGACAGATCTATCACTGCAAATAAGGTAATGATATAAGGAACCTGGGTCCAGGTCCCATATGGTCCCTCCCTATATACTTACCAAGTACCACTGCTGATTCCACATTGGATCATTGAAGAGATTTAGGGCTGAGTCTCGTAGAACTGAGCGTTTGCTTCTCTTTTTTTCATACTGCTGTTCAGCCCATATCACCTATAAAGATTGTCAGCACAAGCGAATCAAAAGCCAAGTAGCACTCTCTGTGTCATCATTTCCTTCTGTGTAATGCCAGTATCTTTGCCATCAGAACTCAGGCAGTTCTGCAGTGTTTTTGTTTGACCACAGATCAAACTGGCTGCTGAGTGAGAAGAAGGGATTGCCCACTAGGGATGGATGAGCATTTTTCTCTATTACAGTAAAATGTATCATTAGGGGAGGAGAAGCAGTCAGTGAAGTTACGATTCCCTCAAATTATTTGCACTGTGGTTTCAGTGAGGTAAAAGTTGAGCCCGCTTTCATCAGAAAATGGGCCATCATAGCCATTTTTATACTGAAGACCCAGTGCCCTACAGCTGAAAATTTGTCTGTTTTCATGGAATGAGTCAACAAGCTAAGAAGCCACAATTGTTCTTGCAACTTAATTTCTCTGTCTTTACATGAGAAAAGATAGAAATTGCAAATGTTACACTAGCCAGGAATGGTGCTGTGTGTTTGCAAATTCAAAACTCTGACTCCTCTGTGATTTAACCTCCTAAAAGTGTTTAATACAAGGAACATATCTGGGGTGATGAATGGGCATTACTGACCAGGCTCATATTCCATCAGTTTGGTCTCATGTATTATGCAAAGAGATCTGACAGCATGAAAATTACCTGGCCCACATTTATTTATGCAATCCTGTTAGACTGAAGGCCCTGAGAGAGTGAGGGGTTTTTTGATGGTTATAACCATTAGGAAACAATGGTATGCTCTTATTTTTCTAGGCAATGTAACTATTTCCTACCCCAAATAGGTTTTCTATTGTTGTATTCATGATAAGTGTGCAGGACAAGGGTGGGGAATATTGTTGATGTGAGAGTCCCCAGGAGTTAGATTCAAAATTAAAAACTGAAAAATAATTTGCAGTGAAAGGATCAAAGCTATTCACAGAGACTGTCTTGAATTTTCAATTAGAAAATATAATGCAAACCTACTGTAAACACTGGGAGGGACTTGAGAGCTAGCTATTAGTCACTATAATTTATTTTTAAACTGCTTGTATTTTAAGCTTAATTGTTTTGGCTTAAAATACCTCAGTGCTAGGAATATACTGCCTGTCATGAAAGTTGCTCTTTGGAAACTGGCTGTTAGGGAACTCGTCTTTGTTGAAGAGGGTCACTTAGAGTTGGAGATTTCATTAGCAGGCTGATGAAGATTGACTATTGCTACATTTCACGGGGCTGGCTTGAAAGAATATTATCCCTAATCGAAAAAGAGCATTAAAATGAAAATCAAGAGCAATTTAAAAAAATGAAATACATAAAGAGACACTCTGCCATCTGATCAGATAAACATCCAATTGTAGGAAACAGTGTTATGATAAATGTTATTAATTCAGGATTGCATATTAATCTCTGAAAGAGCAGAGCAAATGGAATAGAGAAAATTGATGGTATTTTCTAATTATGTATAGAATAGGCATCATGTACTTGATTATAAATAATACTTTTCAGCTGGAAATCACATTAAAATCATGGAGTCCAACCTTCCACTGAAGCTTCAATGACTCCAAGGTTTTTCCTGAGATAAAATTATTTGGGGGCTTATTTTTCCTATGATTACATAAACTAATTTTTATGAAATAATCTTGAAAAGTAAATGCTTAGCGTTTTAATTAATGTCTTGTGATTCCCCTCAAAATTAACTATCAAAGAGATACTCAAAGGGCGGAATTGGGCTATCTGTTCATTTTCATGAGATACCTTGAGGAAGGAGAATAGTTTGGTACACAGTCCTCTGCCCAGCTTTTGCTATGCAGATGGAAAGAAGGCCATGTGTGGCTTCCTTGTGCGTTAATACTGGGCACTTATTTGGGCAGAGAAGGAAATATCTCTCTTGCCTTGCCCAAGGAATAAGAGTAGCCAGAGTGCTGGAAGGTGTCCCGTTTTTCAGACTACATCCAATAAGCTATTACCCTTTGTCTGAGTAAAGGAAAAATCTCACTGGATAAGAAAACTTGTAAAACAAGTTTCATGACCTCTCACTTGGTGTCCTACATGTAGACCTAACTGGTCCCCAAGAGCTAGAATGCCTGTACAAGAGCTATGGGCTCCCTGTCCATGGTCCTGACACAGCGATATTTGGTGACCACATCCCAGTCATTTGCTATCCTCATAATTTGTCTTTTACTTATTTTTAAAGTTCTATCAGTTATAGAACAAATAAAACAGTAAATTATTTCATAGACTTCATCAGTCCCATGTACTTTCAACTGCTCTAGCACGTTTTGCTCACTTATTCTCCCTCACCCTCTGAGAAGCTGATAGGATGCTTTGTGTTTCTCAGTATAACCTTCGGGGTGTCCTAGGCAACAGAATCCACGTACACAAATATTACTGCAACCTGGATGAATTTTTCACAGTATAGCATAGTCTTAAGAACACATATATATGCAACAATATATGTGCAAATTTCTACACTCCTAATGTAGTCAACATTTTCTTTTAATACATTTGCTGACCTTGAATAGACCTCAAAAAATCAATGGGCATATTAAATATATACCCAAATTTTCTCCCTCTGTTTGCCTATATTCATTCTAGACACTTCCTGGTTTCGCCTAATCATGAATCAGTATACAAACTGGGATGAAAAGAGATAAATGGTTTGAATCAAACAATACAATACTTATGGAAACATTTACCTCATAAAGACACAAATTTAGAGCTCTCTCATAAATGCTAACATATTTCTAGTGGTGTAAATGGTAAGATGTTTTCCAGTTACATTGAAAGGCTATCAAAAGAAAAGCTATGTATTTATTTGGCACCCTACACTGGTGATGAAGTGCTTGGTACATAACAGGAATGTGATAAAAGATAATGGAAGCCAGGTATGCTGGCCCGTGCCTGTAAATGTCAGCACGCTGGGAGACTGAGGCAAGAGAATTCCAAGTTCAAGCCTAGCCTCAGGAATTTAGAAACTCAGCAAGACTATTTCAAAATTTGAAAAAAAAATTAAAATGGTTTGAGGATGTAGCTTAGTGTGAAGGCCCTAAGTTCAATCCCCAGTACTCCCCCACCAAAAGAAGACTACTGATTTTATTGTCAAAGTATTCATTAGTGCTACAACCTCTGATTAGATATTCAAAATCAAACCACTCTGTGTATACATATATACTTAATGTATATGTGTATATAGTTAACTTTCATTAACAACTATTCAATTCAATCTTGTTATTACTATATGCAATTATAAATATATAAAAAACGCTAGGTACATTACAAGCAAACAGCAATGATTATACTGAAAACGCATCACATTTGCAAAACACTTTTGTTTTTTTTAGATACCAAAGAAAGCAGACATGTCAGGATAGAAACACAACACTTACACGATCATCATCAGATAATCTCTTAGTGATATGAGGGGCACTTCTCCGAGACCTTCGGGGATGGTTTTTATGTTTAAATAAATAGTAATTTTCAAGTGATCCAATCTGTAAAAAAAATTAAAATAAAAATCCACTTTCCTAGACAAATATATATGGACTAGTTAAAAACCAACTAATATAGAGACACATAACTTTTATTAAGCCCATTCCTGGCTCCTTGAAGTTAGCTTTTTCCCTTCTCAAGGAAGGCCCTGCTATTGGTTTTAGGTGACCCTCAGGACATTATTACTTGGGTTTACAGTATACTTGGAGACTGGTGATGTTCCTGTTTTACACATTTTAACAGAACTGACTTATTCTGTTAAAATGTGTGTGGAAATAACACTTGGTAGACGTTTCTCAAGAAAAACCTATTTGATTGAATGTATCATGCCAGAAAGTATTTTTGCAGAGCAAGCAAATCTCTTTGGTACCATCAGTGACCAGTAGCACACCAAAATAACAAGTCACTGGTGGCGTAAAATGTATCCATTAAATCCCCAATACTAATTATTATTAGCTATTATTGATGATCTCTGCACTTTCCATGAGTTCAAGACTCTCAAGAAAAAGCATACCAAAACTGGACAGATGCTCCATTTTAAGGTGTGTACACATCTCCGGGTAGCTATCAGTAAAACTATATTCATTATTTTAAATTAATTTCCACTTTCACAAGGTGGTACTAAATTTGAAGCCAACAAGTTTTCTAGATGCCTCACATTTTTAAAATTAAGAAACAACTTAGTTCAGAAGAAGCACATTCTTTTAAACTGGGGGTTCTTATCAACTAGAGAAATTTTAACAGAGATGCTTAAGTTCAGCTCCAAGACTAAACCTAAGGTAATGGATCAGCTGTAAACTGTATCTGGGTTTGGAAAGAAAAATCAGAAGCCATAAGAAAGGATCACAGGTGTCCAGCTCTGCTTATGCTGTCAACTGGTTTTGCTTCTTGTCTCTACCTTATTCTAGTTTTATCTTGAGATCATACTATTTTAGAATAGTAATAATGCTAAATGAGTATATTTTATCAATGCTAAATAAAAGGAGAAATAACTAGGACTAGGAAAGCATTATCAGTATTTTACCAAAAAATGTATTCTTAAAACTTTTCTTGGTATTATCACTTTAGGAATGACTAAAGTAAAAATACCACTTGCAAATCATAAGCAATATAGGTGGCTTCCCCAGCTATATATAAATGATTCTTGTGACTAGAATAATTTTAAAAATGTGGGGCATCTAGAAAACTTGTTGGCTTCAAATTTAGTACCACAAACTTCCTATAAAAAACATTTATTTACTGCTTTTAATTTTTACTTTTTTGAATTTATATTTATTTTCTTGGAAAGTAATTCCCATGTAGAGTGGTCCAAGTTTGGATGTGTGTTTGAGGCTAACAGGTGAGACAAACAGAAATTTAATTTTCACTTCTTCTTTCAATTTCCAGCTACACATTTTCCAGTGCTTTTTAGCCTTTTAGTAACTGCTCAGTGGATACAGGATTAAATCCTCAGCACCCCCCCCCAATAGAACATCCAAGATGTCCATGGTGCCCAGAGTATCTACCTGTATATTTCCATCTGCTACTCACTTTTTTGATCCCCCCAAACTCCCAACATTTGTGTGCAACTACCAGACTTAGTGCTAAGCTGTTTGGATGGCCCTGTTTTCCCACAAGCTCTTTTCTATGCCTGGAATGCACTCTCCAATCTCACCTTGTTCTCCTGGCAACCTCGTTTTTCTAAACCCTGTGCCAATGTTACTCTTTCGAGCAGTCTCTTACTCCTCCCAAATTCCCTTCCGCCCTCTTCCTTTCAGTCAAGGAATACAGTACTGAGACTCCAAACACAGCTTCTATTACCCAAATTGCATTCATTTGCAATAATTTGTCTCTAAGCTGAGTCTCCTCTAAATTTTGGATTCCTTGTAAGCATTTCTCTTTCTTCTTTTATTCCTCGGTCCCTAACACAGACCCTGGCACCAAGCAAAGGGCTGGGCAAAAAAGCAAGAAGTCAGTCAGCCACTAGACGCTGGAAAGTCGATTTGGGTATTGACGTTCCTGCCTGGCATTTCAAAGACAGTTTGGCTCACAAAGTTGAAGAATGAAGCCTCTAGCGAGAGAAGGCGTATTCCCCAGCGGATTCGATCTATGGAATCGCCAACGCCCACGCTGATTACTCATCTATGACTTCAGCTGCGTCTCAATCACCACCTCCAGAAAAAAACGCGCCAAAATGTTTTACAACTCCCTCCACCCCCGCTGCGAAGCTGACCAACTTTCAAGGATAGGGGTGAAGGCTTGATTTTGAATCCAAATAAAAGAAAGATCTAAATTAGAAGCCCCCCCCCAGGGGGTCTTGGAATCGCTGAGCCTAGCAGGCTCCCTCTCCATGCCTTCGGGCCCCCATCTCCCCAGCTAGCTAATCCACCCACTTTCCCTTGGAAGCTGCAACCCCCAAGGAAACGATTACGCACTTGAATGAGCCACACAAAAGAAACAGACCCTTTCCCCACAGGTAATCTGGCCGCTGGACCCTGCAGGGGCTCTGGCCGAGCAAAGTTATGAAGCTTGGACTTTACAAGTTCCCAGTAAAAACCCGGGGCTACCCGGAAAAGCGAAGAGATCCTCCCACCTCTTTCACCCACCTTGTCTCCCGCCAGCTTCTCAGGTCACTCGGTGGCCCCCCAACCTCCCATGCGCGCGTCCTGGCGGCCGGCGCTCTTCCAACACTCCGGGCGCGCCCCCAAACGCTGCGGGAGAACATCGCCAAGCCAGCACGGCCAGGACTTGGATTTGATGCTGCCATATTGAAAGGACCCAAAGGGCCGGCTCCTGACGCAGCCCGCCCGAGTCCCGGGAGGCTGAGCGCACTACCTCTCCCAGGGGCGCTCGGCTGGTGGGAGCTCCTGTGCATCTCAAGTTCTCTGAACGAGCGTGGAAGGATTTTTTTTCCAAACTGCGCGGGAACAGATTTCAATACTAGAGCGGACAACAGCAAGCAGGAGCTCTACCCAGCTGCAGCGGCATCCTTCTGCCTGGCTGCGCCCAGCCCAAACGTACATAATGCAAGCCTTCTCCCCTCCCCAAGCGCGCCCGGGGCAAGAGCTGGAGCAGCTTCTTGCTCCTGGCTACAGTGGGCGCAGCTGAGTGCAACGTGGGGCACCCCGTTGGGAGACCGCGCTCCAGTCCCACCATCTCTCTGTAGCCCCGGAGAAAGTTTCTTGAAAGTGTAAACTCTTACCTGACCCAAAAGGTCGTAGCCCAGCTCCTCCGCTATGGCCAAGGCTGCTTCCGGGCCCCCGGGGACCTCGGCCGCCCATTCATTGACAAACTGCCTCTTGGCTTTTACACTGTTCAGCGCACACCAAGCGCAAAAGAGAGCGAAAGCAATACACTGCAGACCCCAGGCTCTCCGCTCCATGGCTCTCACACACTCACTCACACACAAGTGGGAAGGAGCGAGGGAAAAGAAGCAATATAGGAGAAAAGCCAGCAGCCTCGACCTTCCGCCTCCTCCGCCTCTGAATCACTCCTGGCCCGCGGTTGCTCTGGAAGAGCGGGGAGGCGCCCGAGCACAGGCCGGGCGGCGGCGAGTGCTCAGTGAAGCGCCTCGGTCTCCCGGCTGAGTGGAGCCCCAGCCCTTCCCAGCCAGAATGGAAATGAGTATTTACACGTCAAATCGACGAAAGCCATCTCTTGACGTCAGATCTACCTGGACTAAGATCTGGATGGTATTCCCGGCGGGGCGCAGAAGAGACTAAAATAAGCAGCGAAAGGATTAAGAAAAGGAAGAAACAGTTTGCTGGGATCAGTTCATTCTGCTCCCTGTCTGTAGCTGGGAGAAACCTCCTCACTTCTCAGAGAGAAGTGCCCCATTTGAATGTAACTACCAAGGGCCAAAGGCACACTCCTTGCCTTCCATTTCCTTGATAATTATTTTATTATCCCATGTGCATGTATGTGCTGGGGGTGGGGTGGAAAGTGGGGGTAGGATTCTTATAATACCCTACGGGTATCAGAACCTGCTACAGAAAACAGGGTTCTTTGATATTTCAACTGGACAGAGGTGGGAGCAGGTGGGGGAGGGCTGCCCAAATTCTGCTCTAAATCATCTAAGAAAATGAGCTCATTGCCAAGACAATTTTAAAACAATACTTTTTAAAATGAATTTTTAATCACTCATCCACCTTAGTTTATAAATTTACTTCCTGGTGTCCCATTTCTTAACCTCAATAAAACAATGTCTAAAATTCTACTTCAGACAGTGCAGAGCCCACCACCACCACCACCACCACCATGACAATGCTTAGTCAGAAAAAAGGAACAGTCCCATGATTTTTAAAAGCAGAAAATTATTTTTTAATTTATCAACATGGCAGTCCTAGGTTCCAAACGCTGTTCTATTGACTTAGGGAGGAAAATAGCAGGTTTCATTAACCCTGAATTTTCCATTTTTTCCTACATTAACGTTCTTCACTTCGGTGCCACTACTTTTCCATAAAATGCACAACGCATCCCCTGGAAAGAGAACATGCGAACGTCTAAATGAACTCGTCACTCTATCCGAGAGAAATGAGTTCAGTCAAGTAGGACGGAACCTATTTAGAACTTGAGGGATTGAACCCGGCAGGAGATACCGCAGTATCTAATATTCAGCACCGAGATCTGGACAGCGACATGAGCGCCACCGCGGCGGAAACTGCCTTTCCTTCTGAACACCAAAGATCGCCGCCGCTCTGAAGCTGGCCAGCTCCCAGCTGTTTCCCTTTTGACCCTTTCATTTCTCCTCGTTTGAGTATCAAAATAGGAAACTGACCATAGGGGCTGTATGGTTAGGTTCCCAATGGTGACTACTTGCACATTGCTTACTAGAACGCGCTGGACTAAATAAACCCAAAAGTGAAATTTCAGGGAGGAAAAATGAGCCAGGGTGTTGCTTCTGGGACTTTAAAAAAAAAAAATCCTAACCGCAGAGGGGGCGCGATCTAGTCTAGAGAAGTAGAAGAAGAGGGAGCAGATTGGAAAGAAGGCTTGAGGACAGTAGGGGAAAAGGAAGCAAGGGGCTTGTTCAGGAGAAGCCAATGCGACAGGATTTGGTGGAGCATGAGGTTCACAAGTGCTAACTCGTCATTTGCCTTCGTGATTGCAGAAATGCGAGTTAGACCGATAATATCTTTCAACATAAAACATCTTTATACAAACAAATGCCCAATTTAATAATATCTGATGTGGATAATATCTGTGCAGCAATATCACTCTCCTGTGAAATGTGGAATGGGCCCAAATGGACCCCTCTGTTGTCTGCTCTGTAAATCTACTTGTGAGTGTGGGTGGCTGGGAGAGTTTTCTTTCTTTTTTTCATGCCTCAGTCTGAGCTGTGGCCTCAAGCTCTCTCGGGTGTTTCATTCCAACGGGAGACAGATGCTAATTTTGCTACAGTGAGGCAAAGGAGACCTGTGGTAAATGCTTAATAATGGTAGATATGGCCAGAGCAAGAACGTGTTTGTCCATTTCTTCTTATTATACCATTAAATCAGCTTGGCAGTGTATGGGTAATAAGGTCAGCATCTTATTAATGAAACATTTGTCTTAAATGGAGCAACATACAAACCCGGAGTAAACATTTATCTGATAATAAGGTAAATGAAATTCTCAGAGAAGGAAGACAATATCCCTATCCAAGCAATAAATATTCACAATGTATTTGAAAACTATCATTTTTACACAGTTTGACACAACTTCTGAGATGCAGATTAAATGAACTTTGCCCAGGTTAGGAGTATAAAAATATTTAGAGTTCATCCCAACTTTTTCATATCAATGGCTAGTTCTAGCCTCAGGATTCAGGCCCATTGTGGTTGTTAAATTTAATTGTGTTGACCGAGTTGGCTTGGGAGCCACTCAGGAGATTAGCAAGGCACACTTTGTATCTGGGTGGGCCATGGAGACATGTCCTTGGGAATTATATCTGGTCCCTCACCCCTTCCTTTCAAACAGTATTGCATTGTTGTGATCCCTGGCCACCATGAACTAAGAAACTTTGTTTGACCATGCTCTTCTGCCATGATGTTTATTCCTTGGACCCAGACAACCACAGCCTGGACTGAATTCCCTGAAATTATGAGTCAAACTAAACCGCTCATCCCTTAAATTTTGGGTGTCCAGTACTGTGTCCCAGGGATGAAAAATCTCGCTAATATACCCAATCCACATATCTTACATCATGAATTAGAAAAGTCAATTCATCACTGTTAAGTTGGTATTCACCGTATTTCTCTTTTTTATTTTGAGGAAAAAAAAACAATAAAAACAATAGTATAAAATTTCAAAACAAGATTGTAGGAGAGTAACAATGGTTAGCACATTGTGAATTGTTATCTTCAAAGCAGTTGCTCATATTAGAAGATATAGGCATGAAAAATTGGTCAAACAATATAAACATGAGCCTTTCTTTTCAATGAGCTAATAGCAATTGGTAGTATGACTATCTTAACTATCGCATGTATATGTATATATACATGTATGTATTATATACATATATTTATATATTTTTCCTTTTCCCTTTCTTCTTTTCTCCATCCCTTCATTCCAGTTTCTCTTTCCTTTTGAGTATTTTCTTCTCATTTCACAATATCTATTGTACATTTGGGGTGTTATTTACTCTTTCACTTTCCTACACAAGAGAGATAACATGATGTTTACACATGGGAGAATGGTTTATTTCACTTAGGAGTATGGACTCAAGTTGCATCCATTTCCCTATAAATGTCTCAAGTTTATCTTTCTTTATAGCTACTACTCCATAAATATGGAGTATAAAAATACCACATCTTTTTTATCCATTTCTCAGTTGAGAGGCATTTCGGTTGTTTCCAAGATTTAGCTATCACAAATTGTGCTGCTATAAATATGGGTGCACATTCATTGCTGTGGTATGATGTTTTAATCTTTTGGCAAAAATACCCAAGAGGGAAATGGTTGGGTCAAATAAGATCTCTAATCTTGGTTTTTTGAGGAATCTCCACACTGATTTCCACAGTGGTTGCACCAGTCTGCATTCCCACTAACAATGGAAAAGTGTTCCTCTTTCCTGAAAGCCTCTCCAACATTTGTTACTGGTTGATTTCTAGATGATAGCCATTCTTCCTGGAGTGAGATAATGTTTTAATTTGCATGTTTCCATTGACCAATAATGTTGAACATTTTTTCATATATTTATTTGCCATTTGTATTTCTTCATCTGAGAAGTGTGCATTCATCTCTGATACCGAATTTTAGACTGGATCTTTGAATTTGGCGGGGGTTGAAATTTTTCAATTCTTTATATGTTCTAGATAGAACTTCTTTGTCTGAGGGACAATAAGTTAAATTTTTCCAACTCTGTGTTGTATTTTCACTCTGTTGATGATTTTTTTTTGATGTGCAAAATTTTTTTAATAAAATGACATCAAAGTTGTTGATTCTTTAGAGTATTTCCTGTGCAGCTTTTCTTTTGTTCATGGACTTTCCACCTCCACCTATGTCTTCTACTTTCCTGCCAGTAGATTCAGTGTTTCTGTTTTAATATTTAGGTCTTTGATCCACTTTGACTTTTGTTTAGTTCGTGATGATACACATGGATCTAGTTTTAGCCTTTGGCATGTAGAGAGCTAGTTTTCCCAGCACCATTTATTAAAGAGGCTATCTTTCTTCTAGTGAACATGTTTGGTCCCTTTGTGAAAGATAAGGTAGCTGAGTGTGTTTGTAGTTGTGTCTGCATCTTCTAATCTGTTCCACTGCTCCTCAGGTCTATTTTTTTGCCAGTACCATGCTGACTTTATCACAGTCACTTTGAAGTATAATTTCAAGTCAAGGATTGTGATTCCTCCTGCCTTTTCTTTGCTGTCCAGAATTGATTTTGCTATTCTAGGACTCTTCTGGTTCCAAATCAATTTCAGCAATGTTTTATCTAGGTATGTGAGGTATGTTAATGGTATTTTGATTGGGATGGCATTAAATCCGTATAACAATTTTGGGCGTATGACCATTTTCACTATGTTGGTTCTTTCTATCCATGAACAAGGTGTATCTTTCCACTTTCTAATATCCTCTTTGATCTCCTTTTTCATAGTATTATAAATTTCAATGCATAGATCTTTTATTTCCTTTGTTAGATTGATACCTAAATATTTCATTTATTAATGCTATTGTGAAGGATGTCATTTTCCTTATTTCTCTCTCAGTGAGTTTGTTTTTTATGTACAGGAATGCTATTGATTTTTGAGTGTTAATTTTGTATACAGCTATGTTACTGAATTTGGTTATTAGCTCTTGAAGTCTTTTGATGGAGTTTTTGGGATCTTCTATGTAAAGTATCATATCATCTGTGAATAATGACAATTTCACTTCTTCCTTTCCTATCCTTATTGCTCTTATTTCTCTCTCTTGTCTAATTGCTTTGGTTAGTGTTTCCAGAATTATACTGAGTAATAGTGGTGACAGGGGACACCCTTGTCTTGTTCCTGATTTTAGAGTGAAAGTTTTCAGGTTTTGTCCATTTAATATGATGTTGGCTATTGGTTTGTCATAGAAGATTCTTATCAGACTGAGGTAAAGACTATCTACTCTGATTTTCTGTAGGGTTTTTTTCTTAT